CCTACGAAGTAAGAGGTGTTACTCTCCTTCTTCTAAATTTTGGATCGGGTTGGTGCAGCACAGGATGTCGCGTACCGTTTGGGACGAATAATTGTCCTGTTGCCTGGATGTTCGGTTCGAAGGAGGTTCAGCCCGACTTTGTACAAGGAGTTTCTTTTCCTCCCTCAGACACCTTTTTCAGTGTCCATTTTAACCATCTGTCGCATCATCACTGTGATGTGCTGGGCAGCCTGTTCAACGAAGTCGTAAAGTTTGACTTCGCGAGATTCCAGGTAAACGATGCGACTTCGTTGCGCCTCGTTTACCTTTGGAGCTTCAGCCAAGTTGTATTCCAACTGAGCTTGGAATCTTTGTTGTTCCTTGAGGACATCGTTAAGTCCATGGAGCTGTAAGGCCAGTTGGGTATTCGAGTCTTCTAGGTCGGCATGTTATTGGCTGACCCTCGGTTGGGTGAGCCCGGCTGCCGGCTATTTTGGTCTATGAATTGTCGTCCAGTTCTGACCAGTAGGATTCCGATTATAGTCGATCAAAGTATTCTTGTTGTCGGTCGACCTCGTTGTCCGTCTGCTTGAGTTCGACAATATACCGGTCAACTTCGTTTTAGTAAACCTCGACTTCTTCGTTGGTCTGGTTCAGATGCTGGTGGAATGTTCCTGCTGCCATCTCCGAGGCGACCAACACTGTCTGTTGGACGTCCTTCGAGGTTGGTGAGGTTGGTGAAAGGTTGGTGTTTGCCGACTTCTGTTGTCAGCTGTTCTTCTCCGTTCTTGGTCGGCTGTTGTTGTCGGACTCCCTTATTTGGTGGTTGGCCGACTTTCTGTTGGTCGACTTCCATAGTGAGTTGTTGTTGACCGACTTCCTTAATCGGCGATCTTCGACCGACCTCTGTGGCCGGGGATTTTCGGCCGACTTCTTCAGTCGCCATGCCCATTTGGCATTTGGGGCAATTACAAACACCCGCCAACGAAAGAATCGCCTTTCCGCCATTGATCGATCAGCAGTTGAAGCCGAGCAGCAACGGCGGCGGCTCTAACCGGGCCAGCCCAGCTGCGGGAAACCCTGAGTCAGGGAGTAACGGCATCCCACCTGACCTATCACCAACCAAAAATTTCGGATATACCTAACCTTCCTGAACAGTCAATAACCGCAAAGAATCCCAAGTCGGCCGCCCAACGGCCCGCCGGCGGATCCTGGTTTAGCACCCAACCGGTGACTAAGCCACATGACCAAAAAAGTGCGGTCATGCCAGTACGTGTAGAAGTCACGCCTGGACCATCTGGCTGAAGAAGTTTGACCAGACCTACAGTCGTCCAACCTGCGACCAAGTCGAAGTTCGGAGCTTTAATTAATCCTTAGGCCAACCGACCACGTGGGATAGCGAGACGTCGCACCACAAATATGACGTATCATAGGTCAGCGTCAGAAACATTCTCCGATCGTGCACCGGAAGTATGGTCCATGTAAAGTACGGACAGCGAGGTCGACCGTCCAGAAGAGTGGACAGCCGAACCTCTCGAGGTGTCTACCCCCCGGATCTGTAAGCTCCAGACCGGAAGACGACCCCTCGGAACCGCACCGACGGTGCGCACCATCGGCAGTTCACGAAATTTTTTTCTGAACAATAAAAATCTGCTTTACAGACTAGAAGTTTAGTCCAACAAGAGCCCTTGATAATCAAGGATGCTTCGCAAAATCCGAGACCAGTGTCGCTGTTCATCATTGTACTGGTGATGCGGGAAGTGACAGTTGGTCTTGACAAGAACCGTAAACCGGAAACCGTCAGAACACGGACACACAAAGTCCAAATCGGACCAGTCCACAAGCTACCTATGCTGGACACTGGAGCGGAAAGCCTCCCTTATCAGCCAGCACTTCTGCACAGCCAATGGCATCAAAACCGACCTATTGGGGCGGAACACCAAAATCCTTGGTGTTAACGGGCACACCGCCTTTGTGGTCTCTCACTGCTGCACCGTACCGGTGACTCTGCAAGGATATTAAAGCCACCATCCAACCAACGTTATTGGACGTGCAAGTTCTACTTGGTTGTGACACTTGTCCAGACTTTTGTACGGTTTGAGCCTACTGCACTGTAGGCGAGTCAGAGCTAATGCCGCAACCGTTCAGTCAGCTCCCCGCTGTCTGCACGCAGTTGCAGGCCGTGTATGTGAATCGGGAACAGCGAGCTGAATGGGCTCATAAAACGTACATGCGGCTGCACTGCAAAATAAATAGACAAGGGTAGGGTAGCAGTACAGTATTTATCTCATACGGTCCACATCTTATCAGAAATTTCATCCTCAGTGTCAGCCGTAGTGGAGTGGCTCTGCTGCGGTCAGACAGCTCTAAAGGTGTTTATTGAGCATGATTGTTAATTTGTTATAAAATTTGTTAAAAATTTGTTCACGTTGATACCTAACTGATATGTTTTGGGCTTTTACAGCTCTGCTCTACCACACGCGGGCTGTTGCACAGAACAATTTAAAAATGCTCATGTGCATCGTTATGTTTTCCTCTGTGCATGTTTATGGTGTAACTTTTAATGTGGATTTAGGAATACTCAAATTTGAATCTTTTGATGTGTCGGTAACTGCCCAATGTGAGATTAAGGGAGGGGTAGTGGTCACTTTAAACCGTGCGTAGAAATCCTAATCCTGCTCTAAAACCGTCATCAAACACAGATTACCGAAGGTTAAAATTATTGTTAATTTTGCCGTTAATCTTAAGCCCGTGCAAATCGCAACCTAACTATTACCATTCCTTACCAAATCCAGCGCCGCTGAAACATTCTCTTTAAGCCAACAATAATTAAAGACAATGAGGCAGCTCCCATGGAGTCCCGGTAGAGGTACCAAATGCAACCCCTGCCTTCACTTCTCCAGGATCCATCACAGTGGAACTTCCGACGGACGATATGTCGATGCAAGCATTCAGGGCCTCCGACAGCAAAAGACAGAATCAAAACACCGTCTGCATGACAAGTACGCAGCAATGTAGCGAATTTATTCCAGATCGTCAGCTATACAGCGAAGATCCCGGATATAGACGATGTCCATAAAACTCACAAAACATGGTGACTTTGCGGAAATTTCTAGAGTTTCACCTCCTCTATGAGCTCTCAGCAAAAACTTAAATTTTGCAATTAAAGATTGCGTTACCTAGAAAGAGTTCTTTGTGTGAACACTTTTACCTCTAGCCAACACACTTTAAGGCATCTTGTTTTTGGCAACCAATCAGCCGGACTGGTATGGGGCAAAATATCCGAAAAGATATTCACCCCCAGACCGGGGCAGAATAGCCATCTAGCTGCTCATACGGAGAACTGGGGTAAAATAGCCAATAGGTTATCCAACCCCAGACTGGGGCAAAATAGCCAACCAGCTGTTCCGCCCCCATTAGGCAGTACTGGGGCTAAATAGCCTTAGCCTTTCTTAAGTGATTTATCGTAAATTAGTTATGATCATAGAAGGATTCCTGGGTTCGACCGCCGGCGGGGGGCCACCCAGAAGGACGCCGGGGTGGCGTGTGGGGAGACGGAGTTCGGGTGTTGTCCGGACAATTCCCCCGTGGCCGAGGGACCCGGCCTATGGGGCCGGCTGCAACGCCACGGCGGACGGTGCGGATTCCACCGGAAGTAAGGCGCGACAACGCCGCCTGAAATTCGTCCCCATGTTCCCCATGGGCATCAATTAAAGGGGCGCTGGACCTGAACGCGACGGACACGAACGCCACCGACACCATGCACCGACAGCTTGGTAAGGCACTCTGCATCCGATTAGCGTGGGAGTTTAATGCAGTAGATCGTATTATTATTATATTATTCCTTATTATTATATGTAATATTGATTTTATTTTTATTTTATTTCAGCAGTAATATGAAAATGTTTTAAAATCAAAAACAAGCTTAAGTACAGTAATTTTACGAAGTATATCGGTTCTTAAAAAATAAATAGCGCTACAGCTGGACAAAGAAAAACCGCAAAATGTCAATGTATTTATATTGAACTAAACAATAAAATCTTTATCTGGCAACCGGAACAGTGGTAGCAGTCAAAAAGTTAACGTATTTTTTTCTTAATTAATGCCCGAATGATCATTTACTCGAGAAGGTGTCGCAGAACGGCTGAAGAGAACTGGATTTTGAACCACTCTACTACGACATTCGTTAATTTACCGGGCGTGTACAGATATATTGTTATTATTGTTATTATTATTATCGAACAACGGTAGCCAAACACCATCTGGGAGACTTCTAAGGGTATTGGAAAATAGTTTCGGTATTTTCAAAAATTTTTTTTTTTTTTGGTTTTGATGTGATGTACAATACCGAATCATCGTTTTTTTACCGGAATATTTTTTGAATAAATTCACATTGTCCGTGGATAATCACATTTACATCGCTTATGCTGTGTGATATACACAACTACAATATGATACCCTGATGTTAAATAACAGCTAGAAACACGAAGATATCTGAATTTAACTTATGACGTAACGTGATTTAAAATTTATCTTGTATGTATTCTAATTCACACAAATTGGGAACATGACATTTTTTGTCCAGAATCTGGACGAGGCCGACTTGGTGACGACGGAGACGACCCCGGCGGACAACGACACCCTGACCCTAGGCGGGGACCTGGTCATGACGCCCACCGGCCGCAAGACCAAACTCCGCTCCCAACCGATGCTGCGCACCCACGACACCGCCGACGGGACCGGCGCGGACGGAGTGAACGCCACCGACACCGACTGCGCTACCTCCCAATTCGGCTGCTGTTCGGACAACACCACAGCGGCCAGTGGCGCGAACCAGGAGGGCTGCGAGGACGCCGTGGAGGGTTCGGCGGCGGAATGTGGGGGTCCGAGTTCGTCTGCTGTCCGGATGGGAAAGTGCCGGCCCGCGGACCAGACCACGCCAGGTGCAAACAGAAGAGCGAACCGGCCATCGCGGATAGTGTGCGCAGACGGAGTTCGGGTGTTGCGCGGACGGGCAGACGATGACGTTGGGCGCGGAACGCGAAGGCTGTCCGGAGAGTCACTGCGCCAATAGCTATCATGGGTGTTGTCCCGACGGGGTGACCTTCGCGCAGGGACCCAGGTACGAGGAGTGCCCGCACACCAAACAGCCCAAACACAGTACGAACTTTTTTGATTTACGTCAGTAATGTGACTTCCGGCTATTAGCAGATTTTCAGCGGAACTGTGATTGAGTTTGCAGTGTTTGTCGGTTGAACGTAGTGTAATGAATGTCAGAGCGGTTGAAAAAGTACCATCTTTACAATAAATGAATCGCGATTGACTGGTGTTGGTTTGATAACTTCTGTCAGAATATGTTATTCACATTTTTTGTTCTGTCCAAAAATAATTACACGCTTTTGACGTTACTTTAAACAAGAACGGCTTTAACGAGAGGAAACTAAATTTCCGGAAAAGAATTCTTTTTTCCTGGAAAAAAAATCTTATATTTTCCAGAATTTTTAAAAAAAATAATTTAAAAAAACTAATTAATTAAAAAAGCAATAAATAAATTTAATTTGTTTGTCCAGTTCGATTCGGAGCCGGAATGCCAGGCGGAATGCAGGTAGGCTCGTATGGTACGTGATATCAATATCTTAAAAGTGTTTTGCCGGTGAAACTCCACGACCAGATAGATAATCTTAATTCATATTATTCATTTTTTTATTACCTTCATTATTCTACATTTGGATAATTTATTTATGCATCTATATACGAATTGTATTTGTTTTTACATTTACGTAATTTTGATACATTTATAGACATAAAAATGCTATGCGCATAGCGCTATGCGCCCAAGAATTTCAAAGTTTTAACGTAAGATAACATTATAAATCATTGACCTTTTTGCTTAGACCGGAAACTTCGGGGCGCATTGCAAATTAACTGTGCGCCCTAAAATTCTGGGACGTATAGTAGTTACCAAAAAAATATATCAGGCAGAGATCAACCGGCATTTATACGCCTCGAGCTGATTTGGTGAGCTATTAGTGTATTTCCATAATATAAATATAATATAGCGATGATCTTGATCAGGTGTTTATTTGCAGCGGACACATCAGCTGCATTGATACTTTTTTTTTTTTTGAACAGATAAATGCGAGTCGCCGAAGGTGGTGGGTCCGTGTCGCGGGCTGCTGAACGTGTATTATTTTGACGAATACGAGCGCGCCTGCCTGCCCTTCCAGTACGGCGGCTGCCAGGGCAACGCCAACCGCTTCCCTTCGGCGGAAGCGTGCCAGCAGAGCTGCGCCCACGTCATTTCCCCGCCCACTCCGCCGCCCGTCGACGAGAACGTCCACACCATTCCGCCGGAATATCCCGCGCAGACCTATCCCACCGCGCCCGGCCAGAATCCCTATCTCGGTGAGAAACGGGATTTATTTCCGCTGTACCATTTATAAATGTAGTGTTATATATATATAATTTCTTTCGACACTGGGCAATACTTACCATTTAAATAATTTAAACTTTTTTCCCGATTTTTCTAATGATTTTGTAGAATACAGTACTCTGTAATCCCTATCTCGGTAAGGAACGGGCATTTTTCCTGCTGTGTTAAATATAAATGCGTTGTTTTCTTCGACACTGAACAAAACTTGCCATTAAGTAACGTAAACCATTCTTTCCCGATTTTTGGTGTTGATTTTGAACTCGGAAATGTCTAAAAAGTTTCACAATTATTATTTTATTGACTGTGCTTATGCCGTACTCGTAGCATTTAACGTTGCAACCTTTACCTTTTGTACTGTCCCACATAATGCCATTGTACTTCATCAACCACAAAAATTCCCCGCGTATTTTGCGCGATAGCCGGCAAAAGTCGCTTGTAGTACTTGGTTATCGGTCCGCGGTGCATACCTTACTATTTGTGAACTTGTAATTGATTTCTCCACCATTTTATTTGAAACAGGCAGCTATTAATCGGCGTAATGCAATAATTTTTCAGTGCATGTTATTTATTTGTCAGTTTTTGGTTTTTTGTGGAGCAGCCCTCTGCAGTATGCCTGTGGATGGGGGAGCGTGCGTCGAGCGGCAATCGCGTTATTACTACGACATTTCCCAAGGAAAATGCATGTCGTTCACGTACACCGGACGTGGCGGAAACCAGATTCATTTCCACACGCTGGAACAGTGCGAAGGCTTCTGCACACAGTGTAAGTGCTGAATGTTATCTAAAGGAGGTTTAGCGCTTTGGGTAGAAAATATTACAGAGCACATTCTCGCTCCGAAAAATAATACAACGCTAAAACTGCAACGAATAGTCGCAGTAAAAATACGAGTAAAAATATTATTGCTTTTTTTAAGTATTATGTAATGCATCTTATCGGTCTAAAGTCGAAGTCTACAAAACCGCTGCCAGCGATTTGATGCCTGATGAGCCTTGCCATTGCACTACGATGCCCATCAGCACGTGCTGAGTGCTTCAGTTGACCTGGTGTACTCTTTACCGAAACTAGGAATAAAGTAGCTTAATATTTTCCGGCTTAGTGGCTCGATGTATGGAGGTAAATTCGCTGCAGTCCGTAGTAGAGACAGATCACGTATTGTCGATTGCAGTCGGCGTGGGATGTCCGGCCCGCACGTGCTCAATCCAGTGCCCGTACGGCTACGAGAACGATCCCAGTTCCTGCCCACTAAATTTTGTTTCTGTAAGTAATATTATGAATAGCAGCACAGTAAAAATTACTGGTACTGAGTACTGCTGAGCTTTTCTTAATTATTTATAATTAATAATTTATCAGTAATATTTCCGTTTTAATCCGCTGTGATTTGCACCTTGCAGAGACGATCAAAGCGCAGATCATCGCTTCTTCCTCCGGCCTCCGGTTGGCAGCTGCGACTGGAGTGCCGGGCCAGCGGGTACCCGCAGCCGCGCGTCCGCTGGTACCTGAACGCGCACGAGATCATCTCCGACGGCGACCGCTCGCAGGTCTTCACCAACGGGACGCTCCTCATTAAACGCGCGCGGGCCTCAGACGCCGGCGTGTACCAGTGCCAGGCCAGCAACGAGCAGAGCAGCAGCTCAGATTCCCTCCGCGTCTTCGTAACAGGGGACCGCAAAAATGCCTCACTCCAGACAATTTTCCAATAATTTTGTTTTCCATTTATACCGCATTAATAGCATTTTATTTAATTGTTTTTCCTTAAGTATTTTCTTATCGAAATACTGATTTTCCGTCCGATTTCCTTGTTACTCATTTTATCGTTATCAAATCTTTAATAATACGAATTATTTTCCTTAAATGTTTTACGATCACAGAATGTTGTTTTATTAATTTTTTATGTCTTTGGAATTTATATACATAAGCGTTAATTCTACAATTACCTGGTATCGCAGCTGGTTACACAATTTTACGCGATTTTCACCGTGCGCGTTGCAGAAATTGACTATGCTCTGTTGATGCGTGCGGTATTTACCGTAGTGTTCAGTGCGTAAACGAAGTGGAGTGGCTTGTTATCATCCTCTCTCGATCTCTTATTACGGCTGCACATATCTGCTATGATCTCAAAATTTTATTTATTCATTTTCCAATAATCTTTTTTAATGCTGCAATTAACTGAACATAAGAATCAAGAATCAGTGAAAACTGAATTGTGGACTAATTTTTTTTAAAATAAAAGTTTGATTTTCACGGAGTGTTTAGTAACAGAAAATTATTAATATTTCCGCTGACGCAGGAATGCACGGACAACGAGCACTACGCCAACTGCAAACTGATCGTGGTGGCGGAGTTGTGCAACAACGAGTATTACGCCAAATTCTGCTGCAAATCCTGCACGGAATCCGGCCAGATCCGGCTGTGAGGCGATGGCTCCCTTGCGTCCACCTGCGTGACGCTACTGGCGCTACGGGAGTGCTTCGTTGCACTACTCCGTGGGGAATTGCCGTCTGTGACGCAGCGCTTCTCTGATTGGTCGGCTACTGCCGTTCATTATGTTCACTGCTGCGCAGTGCTTTAGAGTTGTCGAGAGCAGGTGGAATTTGGCTCTCTGAGTTGACTGAACGTCAGTGTGTTGGTTTTCATGATTGAGAACGTTAATAAAGTGTATAACGTAGACTGGATATCGTGCGTTGTGCATTTCTTCCTTTAACACGTCACGTTCTACACTACACGGAGTCCTGTCAGTCTGGGCTTCCGTCCTGGACTCATTCCTGGTCCACGGTTATATGGTAGCAGAGCCGTGAACAGACGGTTTCTGAGCAATCTGTTGGCGAACGGCCATTTTCATCTGTTTGGCGAACGGCCATATTGATCTGGATCATCTCGATCTCATCGATCTCATTTCACCAGTAAGGTACTGGTTTCCCTCATCTGAAGCAAGGCGCGCTCATCTATCGGATTGCTACTATCGACTGTACTGACTAGAGAGTCTCCTGTAGGAGAACTCGTCGCATATCCAATCAGACGGCAGAAGGTTGCGGTGTAAGACCTCTCCTGTCGGAGAACTTGTACTGTTTCCTCTGCTAGGCAGCGGCACCTCTTGTTGGGGTCAAGGCTGTCGGGCACAAGAGCCGAGAAGCCACGAGTTGGCAGCACCGAATGAGGTGCCAAGATATCAGTTTTTCGCGCCCATCAAATTGGTTGTAGAGCGACCTGCTGGTAGGCTTGACAAGCCCAGCAGAAGGCTGAATAGGTCGGACAGGAAGGCGCCAAAACCGTGCGGAATACGGCTGCGCGGGATCGGAGTTGTGGAGAAGATCATCTGGATCATCTTCACCATCTGGATCATCTTTTGCGGGATCGGAACGGTGACAGGTAAAAGAAACCGTTATTAATTATCGGATTGGTTGAAGCGTAAAATACGCAATTCTTATTGGTCGGTACTGAGCTGAGCTAGACGTAGGCGTAGTTTTTGCACACGGCACGCAAGTCTGGCCGTCGATCTGTGACGTCAGGCCGGTCAGAAAATTTTAACGGGTACACGTGATTGGTCAGTTAAACGAACTTTGATTGGTCGAAAATTTCAACAGTAAAATCGATCTAAAAACGATCTCCTACCGATCTCCCAGCAGTGGGATCGATCTCTTTTCATCGGAAACGATCTGAATTTAACTAAAGGAAGTTGGTTTTAATCGAATTGAAGTGACCATAAAGTGACCATCTCGGAGATCGATCATCTCGAGATCGTCAGTGATCTTGACATCAGATCAGATCGATCTAAAACGATCTCGTAACGATCTCTCATCAGTTAAAACGATCTTTTCTCATTGTAAATGATCTAAAATCAGTTAAAGGAAGCTGTTTTCAATCGAACTGAGTTGACCGAAAAGTGACCATCTCGGAGATCGATCATCTCGAGATCATCAGTGACCTTTGAGATCAGATCAGATCAGAGAGTGACCTTTACAGATGAGCTGAGATCATCTATTTCAACCGAATACGAACTCTAAACGATCTTTCCAGCAGTTTTATTGATATTAGCAGTTGAACGAGATCATTTAGAGGCAAACCTCTCGATCTTTTCGTCGAAAAAGTGACCTTTAAAATCGAACTTGATCGAAGTAGATCAGCTAAAAAGCGATCTCAGGGACTTAAACCGATCTCATAATAACGTGTGTGTGAGCAAAACCAACAGGTGCGTCACAGTTATCCGATCACAATGGACAAAGAAACAATCGAACCGACATCTAACAGTAGTCAGGGGAGCCGTAGCTCTCACGGGTCACAGCAAGGTGCACATAACCCGTACAAGAAAGACTTGTACCCGTACTCGCGTCCAGTAGGACATGATCGAAATACTCGAGCACCGAAAGTCCCCGTGAAGAAAGATTCACGTGGGTCAGAAGCAACGTACCAGAAGGCACTCGAAGCAGTGTCAGCTCAGGAGAGCTCCAGCGACGATCTCAAACGATCTCCCGCGCCTGCGGCGGGAAGCAGCGAGGTGAACCAGGAGGTCACCAAAGAAAGAATGAACTCGGAAAAAGCCGCAGAGATGGATCTGACATCGCAAAAGGATATATCAGACCAGGATAAGAAGGAGAACCTGGTTCAAACTGATCTTACCGAACAGCCAAAGATCACATCAGATGATCTCAACGAACTCAGACTAGATGATCTCACACTGGGAGATGAAACTGGAACCGAGGATCTCTTCATGAGTCCGATGGCATCTGATGAGATGATGTCTAATCGCGGAAATGAAGAATCGTACTTCACTGAGGATGAGATGACATTGAATATGTCATTCAAAACCGCACATGAAGGAAGCTGATCGAGCCCAGGGATTGACACCCTTTGAGGACATCCCCGAAAGTCTGATCGAAAGGAATCAGACAGGGAAGATCGTCAATGTACGATCTCCATCTCCGAACAGTCCCACTTCAATCTGAGAAGACGGGTCAAAGAGTTGGAAATTTACTGGAGGAAAAGGAAGGTCAAGCCTTCAAAAGAAACAGGAATATCAGAAACGGTTAGGATCTCTTGAAACTCGTATCTACGAGCTGGAGCAACAACAGGGCGTATGGGAAAATACAGCAACAGAATGGAAAGTTCGATATGAACGCCAAGGAGATTGCGGAAGAATCTGAAAGGGCTGATGACAGGGAGATGGAAGGCTACATAGCTGTGAACGAACTTAACGAGAGCATGTCCGAAGAGACAGCTGAAAGGTCACGGCACATAGCCGAATTGAAGGATCAGTGCGATGAACTGCAAAAAGGCAGATGAGGCTGAAGCGAAGCGAGTCGAATATGCAAACAAATTAGCGGAAGCGACTAAACGATTAACGGCGGTGAACAAAGATATATTCAAGCTCAGAGATGACCTGGAGCTTAAAGATGAGAACGTTCAAACTCTCCGAAGGGAATCGGAAGATCATCAGAAACGAACTGATGATGCCTTCAAAGTGGCACAAGACCTGAGGGAGCTCCTAGCCACCGAAGGCGAGCGACTGAAAGATGATATTAAGAAGGTCACTGAAGAAAATGAGCAGCTCAAAGAAGCTGGTCAGAAAGCGGCCGAATGGGGCCAAAGATGGGAAGATGAAGCACGACGACTAGATACGAAGGTGACAAAAGTCGAAGTGGAAAGCAAAGAACATCAGAAAAAGATCCGTGAGCTGACAGATGAGAATATAAAGCTCAATACGGAAATAGTCGATATGACACAAACAGTGATGACTCACCAAGACGAAGTCACCCAATCGAGAACTCGACTGAAATCGGCAGCTGATGCGTATGCTCAACTGGAACAGCAAATGAATCAGCTAATTGACCAGATTAAAGCGAGAGAGATGGACGAAAAAGAGTTAAACGCAGAGACGATTCAGCGGCAGAATTTCGCCCACATGCTCAAGCAGGAGCGAGATCAGTTGCAAATGGAAAACGAGCAGCTCAGTCACCAGAATTAAACGTCTCGAAGATGAGAACAAGGGCCTGCAGTGACAAATAAACACAGGGAAGAGTTACTCCTGCAAGCAGGAAGTGCAAAAGGGATACGCTGATACGCCCCCGCCCAGCTACAGTAAGGCACAAGAAGCGGGCGGGAGCTTCCACTTTGAGATGCCGCTACGAACGGGCGGCGGCACAGGAGGCTTCAAAGCGGAAAAGGATGGGGAAACTTCGGATAATAGGAACCCGTCAGGTAGTCACCAACCACATATGAGCTCGGGTGACCCTTCACAGTTCCAACGGCCCATCGAAACAGCGGTTAAGGACGGCGCAAATCAAGATGCACGCTCTCCACGGCACGAACACGACGGAAGATTCTTCCAGGAATATCGTAACGAACGCAACCAACGAGAAGATCGGAATGAAAATCGAGGACAACGGGAATTTAACAGATCCATCAGAAACATGGGTCGCAAAACTGATCTTGCGACTTTCGACGGCAACCGTGATGCGTTAAGCGGATGGATCCGATTAGTAAGAGAAACACAACGGACATACGACATGACTGATGATCAGATACTGATCGATATCGCCAGCGCCGTTAGAGGACCAGCAAAGACCTGGTTCGATGCCGAAAGAGACATCGAAGAAGCCGAAGAGGAGGTTTACACCGTCACGGAATGGTTGAACAAGTTTAAAGATGAGTTTGGTGATCGAAATGAAGAAGTTCTTGGCTTACGCGAAGCCATGAACAGGAAATTTAAACCAGGAAAAGAAACACCCGAACAGTTCTATCAGGCAATGATGAAGTTCAAGGCAAAAAGGGCCATTACTGAACTACAGGCAGTTGCCTTTCTGATCGACGGATGCAGAACTGATCCCGATCTCTATAAAGCCCTGAAGATAAGAGAATTCAAAACGCCAACGGAGATAAAGGACTTCTTCCGATCGTGGACAGCTGGCGAGGACAAATATAAAGTGGTGGAAGGTCAACGCAACCAACCGGAGATCGCAACCATCCGGTCGGGCCAAGCTGAAATGGCACAGCGACAATACGCACCCACACCGTCCCCTGTGGAATACCAGACGAGATCGCCATCCCCAACTCGTAAGGAGATGACTTTCATCGACAGCCAAACTGGACAACCGATCTCATATGCCATGGTCGCCGCGATACAAGCGCAGGCAAGGCCAATGGCCCCGGCAAATGTTATGCCGAGTCCCCTGAAGGGAGGGGTGCCCCAACAGCAAGGAAGGTCCAATTACGGAAATGGAAACGGAAACGGAAATTGGAATGGTGGCCAAAGAAATGGCAACTTCAATCGAAACCAGGGGCAGGGCAACTATCAGCCCAATAACAGACAAGGAAACTATCAGCAGAACCGCGGCAACTATCAGCAGCCGCAGGGTTCCCGAACGGAATGGAAATTCGGTCAAATTGATGGATGGATCGCCCAGGGCGTGCAGCTGTGCC